CACATCACGATTCTTGAGCTCATCAAGCTCCATCAAGCTCCACTGAAGCAGAATCTCCTAGCCCTCCAAACCCGCCGTGCCAACAGGCCAGCGGCGGGGCGTTTTCTCGCTGTTGTGTAGCTTTGTGTCACAAGTACTCCATGTACAAGTCCTGCAAAAGCGTCAAGGAGGTAGAAGACAAACCGTCTTTCTTCAAGGCAGCCATCAAATGCGACTGGTCTGGTGACTGGTGGGTGAACATGTGTTTAACACATGTGAAAACATTACCATCAAATCTTTATTAAACCATCAAAACGGAGCCCTTCTGGTTGGTACACAAATTCTCCTGAAACCCTTCCTCTGCCTTTCCTGGGGCCGTGTCATCTTCTTCATAGCAAGCACACCAAATCGTGCTCACCTTTGACATGAGAAATGCAGCACTGTTCAGTGTTCAGCGCATGTTTGGTACATTTGGGTGTTTGTGGTACTATCCTAAAAAGAAGGGTTCTGTATTTTTTTTGGGGGGGGCAGAACTGGCTTCTCCCCCCCAACCCCCCCTGCAAAACAAAAACACACACACTACACTACCCCTTCTACTATTGTGGAATATTGCTGTTGGAGAACATTCCACCAAATTTCCTCCACGTCGAACCTCTGTATAAATTAGGTGATGGAGACAATATATATCCTTTTGGGAAAAATAGAAGGAGTATGAAGGCGTCGATTTGCCTATATAATATAATCCTATATATACGCGACCGGGATATCCCCTGAAAGGCCATCCGTGGATGCCCTACAGTTGCCCTGGCCATCAAACCTGGTCCTTTACCTCAGTAAGTCATGTTTTATGACAAACTCCGGCACAAAGAAGTATATACAGTAATTAGCCCCCCAGGGATGGACCTGCCACAAATCCTCCTCGTCCGAAACCTCACGCCGGTCATGTCGACATGAAACCTCTCCTGCCATGCCTTGCTGAGATCCCTCTCCTGGGCGAGAAAGAAAACTCCCGTTGGCTTCGTCGAAGACGGCATGTTGAAAAGGGGTCTGAATATGCAACCAGAGGAGATGGGGGTAGGTATGTATTAGAATGGGCAAACCCCAAGACATCCCGTGGTGTAGCTGCAGCTTTACCAACTCTTGAGGGTGTCTTTTTTCTGACTCACTCCCTGGCCAAAGCGGCAGTATCGAACTTGATCATTCGGTGCATCAGCTTCATGCCAAGCCTCTGCTGCCTCTTCATCCTCACCAGCTCGAGCTGCCAGCTGCTCCTCCAGGTACTTGAGCTCGGCACGCTTGATGTCCACGTACCAACCTGGTTGGTACTTGAGCGCTCAAGGGTTTTCCCCCTGTGGGGTTCCAAAACAAAACACCCGATGGCGTGGGCACGGTGGAACATGACCACCCAGCTTGAACACCCCAGCTTCAACCACCGGTGAAAGGGTTCCAAGCCGCTTTCTTCGAGCAACCACGGAGGTCCGGGTCCGACCTGCGGTGGAGCTTACGGTTCTGGTGGAACGGGGCTGCAGGGTCGGCGAAGTGGCGAAAACCGACCTCACTTGATTGACTTGTTTTTGTTTGCAGAATCCAGTCATTGGGACAGTTTGACCTGGTCCACCCGGCATAGATCATGAAACCAGGTGGTCGGTTATGATGTAGATGTCCATTTGGGCAAAACAACATCATTGGCGTCTGCAAACAATATATCAATTACGCAAGTCCACGGTCAAACACATGACCATTGTGCGAGGTTCCTCATGCACCCTACACTTTCGACAGAACCGAAAGCATAGACCCGGTGACATGCCCGGTGAGGTGCTAATGAAACGGAGTTTGATTGTCATGCTGACCAATGCTGACCAAAATCAAAAATGGGTGGACAACGATAGACCTGGTTGTACCCAGCAAGACCCCCCCAAAAAAAAAGTTCATCCTGGTGTTTATCCCCAAGAGATTCAAACGAGCAGTAGTCTTTCCTGATCAATGTGTATCCCATGATCTTGGCTCAAAGTACTGCTTTCAGAAAAAGTGTCCTCTCACAAATGGGCGCACTAGAAATGATCCAACAAAAAAATAGTTTCCCTGGCGGCGTGCGGCCAATTCCACTGAGTTCAGCACAGAGTGATTCCCAAGTCCCAGTAGGAATGGAAGGTCAAATCCGCCGAGGCGCGCATGAAACGATTCCCCAGCTGGGAGGCCAAGTACCTTGGCTGTTCACACTCCGAAGGGGTCCAGTTCAGTGGACAAAACGGGTGAACGTCTCGTGGAGGAAAGCTGTCTCTTCCCAGCTGCCCATCCGCGGTCGAGGTCTGAGCCCACAAAGCAAGTCTGTGACGGTTTTCAGAGGGGCTTTTGGAGGATCGCATGGGAACCTCCGCAAAACTCCATGCGATCAATTGGGGCCTCAAAGATGTTGACAGCTTTCGGACGAAGTCAGAAAAGCTTTTGACCTACAGGAGCCTACAGGTTCCATCCCTCACTGTACTGAGAAAAAATATAACAGAGAAAATCAGGAGAACTGCTTGGAAGCGCCTTTGTTCATCCCGGGCTGTGGCGCAAACAGTGGTTCAAACAACCCTCTTGAAGAATATGTTTCTTCAAAATCTGGATTCATCTGCCCTGGATATATGAAGAGACCAACAACACAACGTAGGCTTAGTCATGGATCCTGATCCAACCCAGGCATCTGTCAAGTGATGATCCTGTCAAGTCAAGGATTTCAGAGGGAAAACTCATTGACCAAGTTCCCTGTGTTGGGGTCTTCACCAAAAAAAGCAACTGGTCCCGAAAGCATCCCCAAAATGTCCCTGGAACTTGGGATCCCGCCCGAAAGGGATATCGGCACTGAAAGTCTCCAAGTGCAATCATCATCTAGATCTGAAAGTTACCTACAGAGTACACATCATAGTATATCATAGTCATCATTTTCCATGTGATTCATGATGATAGTCTGAAAGTCTCAGAACATCATTCCCAAGGTATCATACATCTCCAACCTGTGGCCAAAAGATCTACTTCGGCTATGAAGATCGATCTCAACTATTGACCCCAAAGGACCGGGAGTCCGGTGAGGTCCGGTGCCTGAGCACATATGGCTGTGGGTCGCCTACCTGGTTGTTACACAGGTGGACCAGGGCAGCTCCCCAGACCTACTAGGGTAGGGTTGAATGACAGATCCCCCAAACCCAAAAGCACCAGAACCTTCCCAAATGGGACACGACCTGAACAATAAATAACGGGTTGCAAACAAAAAAAGATATCCCCATAGGCTCCGCGCCACGACACTCCCCAATTTCTCCCAAGCTCAGCGAGTTTCGTTGCTCCTCACCTGCTTCTCTTCCGGGTGACTCATCGCTCTCCAAAGCGCTCAAGGCTTCGGGCAAGGAGGCCGGCAGCTTCGCAGCGCCCTCGGCCTGCAAGGGGATCCGAAAGGAAAGCGCCAGAATGTTCTTTGAAGAAGTCCGGGTGGTGCCAAGGGGACGTCCAGAAGGGTTCTAGGGCTCCAGTCGTACCTCCCGGAGGGAATATGGACCATCCAAACCCAGCCCAGTCCCACCTTCGAAACGAAGGTGCGACTGGAGCCCTAGGGGAAGTATGTGCCAAGGGTGCTGTGCAGATTAAGCTTCCGACCTAAACTGATCAACTTCGACTGATCACCGGTCCGAAATCGATCCTATTGTCCTATGGTGACTATAGTGCTATAATTTTGTATGCTTGGGCGCACACTTGGTGGTACACCGAGGTACGCCCAGTACTGCTTCTATTCTTTTGGGGGGGAAGTGAAATGTTGGATCGTTACCAGCACCCGACTTCACAGGTCACCAATTGAAACCTGTTAGGGCCCTGCCCAACCCTCCTGTTAGGAGACCTGTTTGTCGTCGGGTGCTGGTACATATGGATGGTACGTCATTCACATCCAGGATCCAAAGGATCTGTTTGAGCTCCGTTGGCTAAGTCCGTTCTGTACCGGTCCGGTATACCTTTCAACCGACCTGACCTGGTTCTGCGGAGGCTTGAACAGAATTGATCCCACCAAACACATTGAGTCTCTGAAAAACATGTTACACATAGACCCAAACACTCCATGGGACTGCAATATGATCAGTTAGGGTGGTTTTGGGGGTCAATGTAGGCATATATGGCAGTCCCAGTGTCTGGGAGACGAATTGTCCTAACCAATAGACCCACCCGTGTCCAGCAGGACCACGCAGAACTTAGAGATATTCTCTCCAAAAGCATTTGAATCAAGCTGCATGACAAACGATGTGTTTTCTTCGTTCGGAAACGGGCTTGGAAAAGCTTTGAAGGTGAAGGGAAACGACCTGTAAAAGCAAAAGCAAGTTGAACAGAGGATCTTTGGCAAATCCATGGCTCATGGCTCCTAACTCAAGCAAATTCAAGCAACATTTTTCCTGGCAGTCTAGTCGATTTTTGGAACATCGTCTGACATGACCCGAGCGGAATATCTTTATACTTCGTGGTGCCAAAGATCGTCGATCTGGACGTCGAGAGTTTGTTGTTTTCCCTCTAAACTCTAAACAAGAAGCCTTTGACACATCTGCATAGGCGAAGTCCTACATATTGAGAGTTGGCATCCTGGATCTATTTATTGTTTATACTATATATACTATAAAGACAACCAATAAAGTACAAGGACTATATAATAGTATATGTTTATCTATTGTTTTATATAATTTATTGTTTATATATATAATATATACTATAAGACTATTATAAGACATTATAAGACTATATATTGTCCTGGAGACCGATTCCCAGAACAGCACAGCTAGGTCCACACACATCCAGCAGTGGGAGTTTAAGCCATCCGGCAACGACAGTGACCCCTGACTGCTGACTGAAACCACTGTCTTTCTGGTGGTTCTGCTGGTTATTGTTTTTGAAAACAAACAAGATGAAGGCATGTCATTGCATGTTCACCAGCTGTCCCTGAAAGGGATCCCTGAAAGGGAGAATACAAGAACCACCTTCAACAAGTCAAGCAGACTAAAATCCCCTTGCTATTGTATCCACCAACTGACACTGAAGGCCTCGCTTTGGCGTTGTGGTGGCAGTTCCAGCTTCCGTTGCAAACCATCCAAACCACTGGCGACCAAGCCGGCGATGACCTCGGTGATCGCAAAAAAGAGGACAGGCCGAGCACGGGTGAGACCATTTAGCGAAGACAGCTATAGCCAGGATCTTAAAATCAGGTGGTTTTGGGACACATTCCCAATCACCTCTTTTTGAGGTTATTTCATCAGACTCCCCTGGGAGCAAGGACGGTAGAACAGTTCTGTTCTAATGAATAGTGTTTCTTTTCTTTACATAAGAGAAAGGTTAGAAGACCCAATGCCGTGCTGAACGTCCCAACTCCCAACTCCTTCCCGGAAAGGACGGTCCAAACGGTGGTCTGCGGTCGGTCGACCTTCCCCCCGTTGGTACCGAACAAAACGGGGGTCGGTCAAGAGGTCTAGAGAGAGTCAGGAAATGTGTTTTGATCAACACGGTGCGAGCCAGGTCTGCAAGCATGCTGAGCCAAAAACAAAGAAAGGATCGGGGCTCCCGACATCAGAACAGACTTCAGGAAGGGTTGTTGTTTTTGGTAGGCAGCAATGGAACATAAAGTCCACTGGAACAGAGGCATTTGCAAAGGAATGCTCACTCTGGATCTGCAGGATTTGGGAGTACAAACGGGGATCAGCAATCCAGGAGGGCACACCGCCCTCCGGTGAGTCTCTCCGATCCAACTTTGGGATGTTTGGACCAGGGCCATGTTTTCCCCATGTCCGGTCTTTGGTCGGAAGATGGGTTAAACCTGCTGAACAAAACACGTACTAAAGGAGCAAAGAGAAATGACAAGGACCGGGATAGCGTGTTCAATCATCTAGGCAAGTGCAAACCGGACAAGAAAAAGACTTGGACATGACAAACAAACATGCACTTGTCTAGTCCAGTGCATCCCAGTTACCGCTAATATAAGGAACCACTAGCGCTATAGTGGTAACTGGATGCACTTGCCTAGGTTATTGACATGACAAGGACTGGAAGAATTAAAAAAGATCTACCACAGCCATTAGATTCAATGTTATTGTTGGTGAAGATCCGCCTGGAGGCCTGTGGGTATAACAGCTGGGGCCGTAACTGGCATTGCCTGTCCAAAAATCGTTTGGCTTCATGAGGAGGGTGCATCAATCCTCGCTTGATCATCATGATTGGACAACACAAAGCACCTGCGGGCCTTCTCCTTGTGCTTTTCCTCGCATGAGGAGTGAAACACTCCACTCATTCAGTCCACTGCAGAAAGCCAAGCGGCCAAGTAGGGATTGGCTGAAGATGATGGCATTCGGAGTTCCATGTAGCAACTGCCCGGTGGACCCTTCTTGTCGCTCTTCACGCGCACGCAGGCCTCACAACGAAGTAACCACATCCCTCAGGCTTTGTTAGGCTTTGACGTATAACAGCCTTAGAGGGTCAGGACTCAGGACCAACCCATCAGGACAAAGGCAAAGAAGTGTGAACCCTGACTAAGCTACAGATCGATATAACTGTGACATAACTGCTGAGGTTTGGGCTATTGCTCAGACTGAGACCTTCTGAGATTCCCTCATTCAGGGCGAGGGAGATCGGGTGAGTGGCCCAGGACCGAGGTAAAGGACTTGCAACTCCAAGAACATGGACTAACAGCATAAAAAAAACAATCAGATGAAGCAGGACTCAAGTCAAATAGAACCAGTACCTAAGGTGCTTGATGTTCTTTATTAAAGAATCCTACTCCCTAGGCCAGGGGTCGTTCCTCCCCTCGGCCTTATACCAAACCCTATACCAGCTCCACTTCCAAGGACCCTGAGTCGGAGTGTAAGTCGGCCGGCAAAATTCTGAGCACAATTCTGGGCCGGTTTTTTGGAGGGGAGGTGATTCCATGTTTTACCCAACGACCCCCCCTTGTCACGCCCTTCCTGGATCTTGTCGGGCTCCACCTCTCCCAACCCTTCGGCCCCCCTCCCGCCGTATCTCGCCCACGCGCGCCGTGCGGTCGTCGAAGCCCCAGTTGGCCACAGTGGGTGCCCAGTTCCTCTGGGCCGCGGAACGGGAGTCCACCCGCCATGCCGATCGGCGAAGAAACGTCCATTGGATCACTCACTGCCTTTGACTGTTTCAAGCTCTGAAGGGTCCCTGAGCCAGAAAAAGAAACGTTCACATCTCTCTCTACAAACAGGTGGTGAACTCCACTCCACGGATCTGTGAGGTTTCCGAGAGTTGTCGGCGGTTGCCTTCCCCACAAAATCGACTCCAATGGACGGAGTGCGAGCAGCTCTGAGTTTGTGAGTCTGTGGGAAGTGCAAGCCACCCAATGCAATTTGCACACATATTGAATCATGGCCATTGGTTGCACGAATTCACTACACAATTCAGTCGATTGTCAGAGGATATGCGAATCCGAGGAAGTACCTGTACAAGTACCCTCCCTCCATCGCAGTCAACAGCTAGCCCCTGTGGAAGACCAATTTCTCTAAGAGAGAGAGGGATAGGTTTTTGATGGTTTTTGCTCAGCTTCCACGTCTTCGCGTGTGGGAGGGTCATCCAACTTCATCAGATTCTTCGATCTTGGTCTAGCTGCAGTACTCTCTGAGAGATGGGATAGAACCCAGTGGATCCAGTTGACACGAATCGGTATCCGGTGGTTCCAGTTCGATGAGCAAACCATCGATCGATCGATTTGCCCTCGTTGCGTCGAGCACACACCTTTCACATCTATATCTTGTTCCACCTCTATCTTTGTTGGATACTAGGAGCGATCGGACGCTACGAACGTAACTCCTGGCATTTACTGGGCCCTGGGAAGATACGAAGCTACGAACGTCACAGGAGCGATCGGACGGCCGTCCAAGGCACCCATGGCGGCAATAGCAGGGCGGCGTGGGCGAACACAAAGCTTCCAGTGCCGGTGCGTGGGCCAGAACGCCTCGTGCGTCGTGCTGGTGCTGGTCTGAGGTGCTTGATCTTGGACGGACTCTTGGACTCTTGGCTCAAACAGTGAGTTGGAGGTGTGGTACCCGATTCTGGAACCAAATAACAACATGAGTTGAAGCTTCAGTCGATGTACCAACTGAAAGCTACTAAAGGCAAGGGTCGAGCCGGTTGTTGATATCTGTAAGTCTGTAAACAAGCTAAAAGTTCAATTTCATTCAAAGTCGATGTGCCCACAAATGTTGAATTAGAAAATGGGCCACAAACAAACATGAAACAATTTACGGGCCCCAAGAAGTTGAACATATAGTTGAACAAACCAACAGTTGCAACACGTGTCTTCCTCATAGCGTGCTGAGTCTGCCTACCACTTGAAACAAATTCATCCTGCCCTAAGAACAAACTAAAGTGAGCTAATGTAAACGACGATAAAATTATGGGATATTGTGGGGATTTATGGGGGGTAGACTGCCAATGACTGGGCTCCCCGACAAACTTCTGAAAATAACTCGGAGGTCCACCACAAACTCTCACAGCCCGCATCGTCTCACCGACCCCATCACCTACCCACCCACCCCAACCCCGCCTGCTAAAAAGGACTTTGCAGAGTCGGAGAGTCCATCAGCATCCGCCTCAAGAGTCCACGTGATCATATCCACCATCCATGGGATGGGACCGTTGCACACCGATCACTTCCGGGGTGGTTGATGGGTCGCAGCTGCAGGGGTCGATCAGTCGCCCTCGCATGGTCCAAGTCTTCCGAACACCACGCTCGTGTCCAGTTAACATCCAAAAGCATGCCACCGCTCGTGTCCAAAGCGGCTTTTGGAAACATACCATCCTTTCCTCGTAGGCGGTCCCTCAATCACCCAATCGTCCGGTTTTTTAATTGCTTCAGCTCGCTGATCCAAAACGTAACAAATCTAAAAGGCTAATAGGTTTAAAGCAAACATCCCTTCATGGCTGTCATTGTCAAACAATGTACTTTCTATGGCGTGCACGGTCTGTTGAACGCTGTCCGCATGGAACCTCCTGCGTCGAATATCTGCAAACCTGCGAGCGAAGCCTCGCTCGTTTCTTCCATGATTCCATTAAAGGCAAATGCCCATGCACAGGTATGGACATGGAATTTCTGGCAATGGCTATGTACTATGATTTACTCAACTAGGCCTCGTTTTTCAGAAGCTAGGGTAGTCTCCACAGGAATCAACAATTTCTGGTTGGAACTACCACCATGGGGTACATACATGGGATAGGCTATTAGATCTATTTAGGGGGCTGGACCAAACCACCATTTGCAAGGCCAGTTTTCCAAAGTGTCAGGACTGTCAGGCCCTTTTCGAAAAGGACTCTTACAGGATTTCTCACCCATTGACCCCGAACACAGTTCGGCGCAAAAGGACTCACCCGGCTGACGCCAGGGCGACTGGACGGAAGACGACGCAAACCCGAAGGCCAGGCTCCATCGCAACAAACGCAAAGCCGGGATGAGAGAGGTTTTAGAAATTGTAGGCATGCTGATTTGATGGGAGATGTAAATCCTTCAATCCCAAGTCCAGGTCAAGCAAAAACCCGGTCTGTTGGTAGTAACTATGGTATCTTCGTTCAGTGTGTTCAATTAACTCTGGACATGTTATTCATTCGTTGAGTCAAGAACAAGTTATCCAATAATGTTGGATGTTGATTAGTAGTAGGGCCCTCTATACGGCTAACGATTTCATTCAGAAACATTGACGCCATGTTTGTTTTAAGGGTTATCTATTATGCATCTTTTTTGTGATCATTTTTTTTGAAAACTAGTTAGGGTTTTAAGTCCTTCAAACACCTGTGAATATCGCTAAGCCGCCAATGACTGGTTTGCTGAGAGTATGATTGGCAATCATAGGTTTCTTTAGTTCTACAAAATTCACGGCTTCCCAAAGCCATCAATTCCTGATAATCATCCTGTATGTAAAGACTGTTCCTAAACAACTTTTCAAAGTAGTGGACCAGGAAGGCACCTGATCCTCAATAACAAATTTGTCTTAAGGGTTCTCAATTGTGCAAAGCTTTTGCATCAGAAAAAAGGAGAACATCATAACATCAATTTAATCTATATAGTTATATAGTACTAAGCCATTGGCTGGCTTGCTGAGAATATTGTTGGTACTCATAGGTTTCTTTAATTCTTCAAAACTCACAGCTTCCCAAAGCCATCAATTCCTTAATCAATCCTTTATGTAAAGATTGCTCCAAACCAATTTTTCAAAGGCAGTAGACCTGAAGATCTGCTGATGATCTGAGGCTGCATAGGAAAAGGATTGCTGAGAATATCTAGTTACGAAGAATCTGAAAAGGAAAATGACTACTACACTCAATTACAAAAGGAATCCTCCCATGGACCCAAATTTGTTTTGGTGTCAATTTATTATAGAGACCCTCCAAGTTGTTTTGAAGGAGTGGGGGGGCCCCCTTTACTAATCAAGAACCAACATTAAGAACAAAGAGCCAGAACTGCTGATTCGTGGTAGCAGGAGCACCGGTTCTTAATTGAAGCCAGCCTCTAAGCCGTTAAGCCTTCCGCCTCTAAGCCTCTAAACGCCCGCTGGCTCAGCTTAGGCCTCCAAGCCCCTTTCACGCCTCTAAGCCTCTTGGCCTCCTTATTTGCTCAAAGGATTGGCCTTTGCTCGATTGAGAAGATCGGGCATGGCACGCATTGCCTTGATCAGGTCGGGGTCGTTTATTGCCACCGCTCCTGCTGGGGAATTCTTCAAGTCTGAGAGCAGTGCTGCCACGAGCGAGATCATGTGGACACCTTCGCTCAACACGTGGATTCTCCTTTTGAGAAACCCGTCGTGGAATGCATCAATTCAATGCGTCTTCCGACATGCGGCGGTCGTTGCTGCACCGAACTCATGGAATGCAAGGATGCTCTTGTGATGGTACACGACAGCGCCGAGCCAAGCTGCGCCGGTGCACACGTCCAGTGGGTGGACTGCCACGCGGAACAAGGAGCAAATCTGCGTCAACTTTCCTTCATCTTTTGACTTGGTGGCCCCAATCAGGAGGTGGTCCTCTGAGAAGCCCCCCGTGTTTTAAATCAAAGCGGTGGCTTTTTGCACGGCCGATTTGGACGGATGTCTGGCGGTCAACTAACATGTTGAAGCGTGACGCAAACTAATGTTCTGGAGATGGACAAAGCTTTTGCAATCTTCTCCTTTGTCACGCCGGGTGCAAGTCCGCGCAAGACATTCATCCGTGACGCAAAGGGACCTACTGCCGCCAGCGACATCCTCAGGATTTCTTGCATCTGCCGGAACAGCGCTTGGGTCACACCTACTGTCAACAAGCGACAAGCAGGCCCAAACAGTGCCTTAGCTTTGGGCAGAGAGCCTGGGTCTCTAGGTCTTTCAAAGCATGTTCCAACTGAGCAATCTTACCACGCCTGGACAGAGCGTCACCGTGGTCATGCAACAGGTCATGGTACTCGTTTGCAGTCGGCTCGGCGGATCTTCGAAGCTGAAACCAATTGTGCTGTGGCTCTCCGCATATGCCGGATGACCTCTGATTTTTCAGGGGGCCCTCCGTCTTCACAGCGCAACGGTGAACATGATCCACCTGGTCTCGCTACTGAATTGTGTCCTGGAGGACAGCAAGGTCCCGCTTCGCTGTCTGAAGCTCAGCTTGGGTTTGCTTCAATTCGGAGGGATCACCGCTGGCGGGCGAAGCATTAGGAAAACCACCGCTGGCGACACGGGTCAGGCGTTCAACAGCGCACGACTCGTTGCTATTCTTCGAAGAGCGTTCAAAAGTCACCAAGAGAGGTGAGAAGGAAGTGAGCAAAAATCTATCTGCATCAGCTTGTGGCCTGGCGCTGGGCACCGAAGACTGGCCTCACTGGCAAACTTCTACATGCCGCTTAGGCGCTTAAGCCTCTAAACCTCTGAACGCCTCTCAGCTTCTTCACGCCTGTATACCTCTTAGTGTCCTTTGCCGCTTTAGCTTATGCGCTTAAGCCTCCAAGCCTTTTCACGCCTCTAATCCTCTTAGTGTTCTCAGCCGATTGCTCAGCTCAGGCGCCTAGGCGCTTAAGCCCCTATTCCTCTTAACGCGTCAAAGCCTCTTAGCACCTCTTAGCGTCCTTAGCCGCTTGCTCAGCTGAGGCACTTAGGTGCTTAAGCCTCTAAACGCCTCTAAGCCTCTTCACGTCGAAAGCCTCTTAGTGTCCTCAGCCACTCGCTCAGCTTAGGCGTTGGACGGCGCTGGACGGCGCTGGACGTCGAAAAACTGAACCCCTTCTACTACTGCAATGTGCTGATTCCCCCGATGCATGTGTAGGTTTATGTGCCACCTTCAGCTCTGGGTCTCGATCTGACTACCCAGTACGCAGAAAAATCCAGAGATCCAGGAAAATCCAGGTGTTCAACAAAACATAACAAAACAACAAGTCTTGCGCACACTGCCCCTTCGCCTACGGGCAAGGGCACCGGCTGTGCAACGCATGATCTGTATACCAGCCTGCTGACCCTTATCCCAACAGCCAAAGTCTTGTAGATCTAGATGAAAAACGTCTGAGGAATGACCAAAACCACCAGCTGTGCTGCTGTGTTGCTGTGGAGTGGAGGACGTTCTTCTTGCCGCTGGTGATCTTTGCAAGGATCCTTGGAGCGGTAGGAGCATTTGCCGTCCTATGCCATCCTCTTTTCCGGGGATTACCTTGCCACCGATCTAAACACCGTATTTCGGCCCTATTGAATTGCACCTGGGGGCAGCAATGAAGACTTCTCTGATATTCCCAAGTGAAGCGAACCCAAACGCATAGCGGAAGTCACAAAGCTCCAAGAAGACAAACATATCCAGGACCTCTTGGACCCCTTGTTGGGAGTACAGCTTGATGCCTTTCTCCAATGCAGTCCCGCAGTGGTTATCCCAACCCCACATCAAACCCATGGCTAAACCCCACTGAAGAACCCGTGCAACACATTCCAACACCTACAAGTCCTCCATGCAGAAACACGCCACTCCGCCCAATCCACTGCCCAGCAGCGAGCTGGCACCCTCGTCGGTGCGGGGAGTCTGTGTTGGAGACCAAATGGAGAAATTCCTCACGAAACAGTCGCTGAGGTGGACCAGGAAGTCTGGTTCCCTTGAAACATGAAGCAACACATAGCAAAACTCAAGACTCACCAACCCCCATCCCTTGAGAGTGATGTAGGTTGCCATACGGCTGTTTATGTCGTCAAAACCACCAGAAGACCTTGGTTGACCTACCGACGTCGATCAAACGGTGGACCAGGGCTCCAGGATTGAACCACCCAGAAGTTTGGCTGTAGAGGAACCTTTCAATTCAACACTGGAACTCAGCCCCCCCTCCCCAGGTGCGGCACCTTTTGAACATAGTGCGACTGAACCGATTGCAGATCGATGTCATTGGAGTTCCTTAACTTATACATATCAATTTTGAGTGAGACATGGTGGCTTTGAAGACCGTGTTGCGGTTGGTTGTTAGTAGATTGTTACGGGCGTGCGCCCCAAACAACCCATGCTCCTCGAGCGGAAAAACAGTGTGGTGCTTGGATAAGGGATCAACTGCAGGCCTTTTGTGGCAAAATATGGCGAAACATTTAAACAATTTCCTGCGGACGACTGGAAGACTAATCACCAATAAATCCGACAAGTTAAATGTGTTTTTGTTCAATTCCCTGTCTCATTGGTGGCTGCAGGAGTCTGCAGGAGTGTAAGACATGTTTAAGAAGAATCATATTGACAAAACTGGCCAAGCAAACCTGAAACTCAACTTGTGAAAAAAAGTGATCTCTGCCTCAAATCGACAACACCCAGACTCAAATGACTCTTCCAATCCCTCAAAACACCCCTCAAAAAAGGGATTCCCACCCCGCGCCGTAGGGAAAAAACATCTACCCCACCACACATTGTTTGGCTTCACTCCAGACATATCCACAGCATCCACCCACTGCCATGGAGGAATGGCAACCGTTTTGGAGACGCGCCGTTGGAATGTGAAGGCCAACCATGATTGTTCACGACCTGGGGGATCCCTATAATCGTCAAACCAATATAGTAAACAAACACATATACATGCCCCAGCTCGGTTTCATGCGAAGCTCTGTCTTACACACATGCGAGTCGGTCCAAAGAACCTCTTTAGATCGATGAGGGTTTTGGATGCTGAAACGTGTTGTCATGTCCCCAAGACCGACATACTGGAATGGTTTCTTTCTCTACCCAAAGACTCCAGCAATCCCCGCCCAGATGTGGTGCAATTCCGTTGAGATTAAAAACCAACCATGTGAATCGTTTAAAGGGTTTCAAGCATCCAGTAATAGACTATGTAAACATATATCTTCCGCCCAGTCGACCAGTTCCGAGGCTCAAGTGTCCCCCATTGCCCACGCCACGCACTCCGAAGGGCTTGGCCTTGACCGTCCGTTCTCCGACTGACGCGACAGTCGAGGGCCCACCATCGATGATCCGTGGACACGACGAGAGTGGTGCTGAAGAGGTGGCCGCAGTCGTTCGGAGTGAGGCTCAAAGATGGCACAAGGTTCAAACAACCATGCTCTCCTAGTGCCCCGACCATGAGAAGAAGAAGCTTATGGAAGGTTGGAGAAAATGATGCACCCAGAGTCCAAATCCATCTCCTGGACCTCACCCTTTTACTGCTTGGAAACCAAGAGTGGCTGGACAGCCTTCGGACTTTCAAAGACATTGCTATAGCTAGATAGCACATATAGGAGACATGTCATGTGCGTGATCTCAGGCTGACCTGGAAGACTTCGCAAGTTTGCCTGCAACACCAGCACCCATGAAGAACAGCTTGGATGAAGAGGCTGAGCCACTGCATTAGGCTCGTTATCCACCAATGCAAAAAATGGAAAGCAATCCCTGTTCTTTGGAACTACAGTAAGGAGCCTTTACCTGCAGGAAAACAACAGCTGAAGGATTGTGATGTTGTTTAAGCCTGGTGCAAAGCGGCGCTTTGTTTTTTCAAGAACCCTGCCCAGAAAACATGTGTGCAGGGATGGCAGGGATGCCAAAGAGATTTGTCAAAGGGCTGTGAAGCAGCTGTTGGCTGGTAAAGCTGCAGACACAGTCAAGCAGTGGGCCAAAGCACAATAAGAAGGCTGGACAGCCTGAAAAGTACCATTGCACTGGCGCCAATGGCTGGGTAGTTACAAACACTGCCACAAGAACAATGTATGGTTGGATCGGCACAAATAGCCATTAATGTCTAATGACTGACATAGGTTTGTCGAAAGTTGCAAAGTCAGTCTGCAGTCTGCAGTCGTCCGCAAGGAACCGTGCGACCCTACGATTCGCTGGTCGGCACGTTGTTTGAAGCATCTGTGTGCAAGGCACATTTTTACAGCGCTACCAACGCCAACGCCCGCTTTCAACATCAACAAGCGTAGAAGCTCACCGGCCAGTGAGCAAATCTTCTGCGATCTGCGTCCCAGGGACCATGAAGGTTGCACGGAGGTCAGCGGCCTGTGCGATCTCCTGCAGTGAAGCATCAAAAGCATCATGAGGTCAAAACCCTTCAAAAACCCATCAACATCCAATCAAAATCAATGGAGAAATGACATCAAATGAATGGAGGTCAACCATGAGGTGTGTGCAAAACTCTGGTCACGAGGTCCGGCCAGGCGAAGGACTTGAGTCTTGGCCCGAGAACTACAGATGTGGTGCCCTAAGAGCCAACATACCCCAGATGAAGATCCTTGGAAGCGCAATTCTTCACACCAGCTGGAAGAGCCAACAGGCTTAATTTGAGACTAAAGCAGGTGGACCAAACAAAGATCAATTAAGTCTTTCTTGAAATCCGTTGGGTCGAGTCAATGTGGGTGATCCAAATACGCCCAAATACGCACAACCAAAAAGCACTGACATAGTTACCAAATGATACCAACCTTGGGGTGCTTGTGGGTGCTTGTCGGTGCTTGTAAAAATCTGGGTCAATGATGGCATTCGCATCCAGACCCTCTATGTCTGTCATATATACCTACATTGACCTTCTCAAACCAACCCAACGTAGGTCAATACCAGCTTCAGTTCGTGACCTCTTTGGAGTGCCATCCAGTGACCTTTGACAGGCCCTTTTGTGACCTCAAGGCCTGGGAAATCAAGGACGGTCACTGAACGAAGAACCATTCGTCATCTCATTCGTCGTGTTCCGGGGTGGTCTCCAGTCCCATTTTCATGCGTGAAGAACAGCTGCCCTTGACACGCGAACCGGATGGCCGCGCCCGGACCGGTGGAACCTCGGTGGAACCGGTAGAGATCGAAGCGCCGAACGAAGAGAAGGTGGAAGGAGCTTAGGAGACAGCGCATGAGCCTTTGAAGCTAAAACTGCAAACCATTGAACCCCAAAAGCACTGCAAACCGATCATCTTGCCAGGTTCTTCCGTTCTAAAAGCCACCGGTCCTGGAGGTTCTTGGAGCCTGGAAAGCCTTCCGCCTGGTGCCCAACTACGCCCTCAGACTCCGTCCTTGGTGCCCAAGCGGAAGGTGGCCATCTGATCCACGGCCTCGATGCCGAACCTGCCACCGAACCGGTCAACGGCGTGGGATTTCCACGCGACGCGTAGCGCGATGCGTAGACCGGTCAACAGGGGTCTTGGGCGAGAAGGATCGGTATAAGAAAGGGGCGCCTTCCTAGACCGTGACAGGGGTGTGAAGGACATCTATATACAGGTCGTGACAGTCCAGCACAAAGGAGCAGGCAATCGTGCTGATAGACCGTGTCCGAGCGTCTAGGAGCTTCAGAAGAGGGAAACTGTGGGACTTCCATCTCAGAGTGATTGCAGGCTCTTGGCGCTGCCCGAGTCAAGAAGGTGTTGTCTTGCTTGACCAAATCTTAACTCCACTTGCTGGTTTTTGGCACATGCCATGAAATCGGTATAATGAATCATACATCATATAATCATCACGAGTTCTTTTGAAACTGTGGCTCTGACGCGATGTGGTCACTTGCTGGTTGTCCGGCCAAACAGAAATAAACCAATGGCCTCTGGCTAAAACTGGTGTCTGGCAGGCAACATGTCGGTCATATGAACAGGCACCCCCTTTGGTGCCGGAGGTGTGGTCCTGGTTTTCCGTCCTTTTGGAGGGGGTTGCTGCTCCAGTCTTCATGCATCGCTGTTAGGAGTCTGCAGTCCGCAAGTCCATCTGAGTACGGAACAAGAAGTCCCAGGTGCCCATCTTACGTGTGCAACTCGCATGGCATCTTGATCAAGCAATGCGGTCCAAATGGTGGGTGCTCCCGACCATGCAAGGTGTCTGATGGTGTCTCCTTCCTACAGGACACCACAACAAAACCCACCTCAAGACTCTTGCCTGTAACATCTTGGGGGGTTCCGGGGTTGCATTCTGGCGGCTGACGGCTGCCTCAAAGCTTATATAGTTGTCAAAACTAGTTGTCCAATATTCTTGGAGGGCCATGCAAATCTTGAGCACATCTCCTCGTGATCAAGCTTAGGTCGAACTTGGAAGATCGCATCCTAAAACTCGTACTGACTCATACATACCCTATAGATCTTCCAACTATATGCAACATGTCTGGTATTTTCATCTATAAAACCTGCCAAGTTCGGCAAACATGTTGGTTGGAAGAGCCAGGTATACACATGTCCATAGTGAATCAAGAGTCCGTACAATTTTGCAAAACAACATCTTGACACCTTGACGCACCATCTATCATCATCGATCAGCAACTACGAAAAAGGTGCCACACACCAGACACTCCTTTAGACACTCCATGGGAACTATTTGCTGATCAGGCCCAGGGCTGGTTGACTTCAGGGGTCTTTCGGCACCATCATCGTCCAGTCCTGTCGTCTTGGGGGGTCAAGCCGGGGTCAAGGACATCCATCCGCCCCTCCATCCTCGGACCCAGTTGACCACCTGGGCGCGAAGGTGATCTCCAGTTGACCCTCGCCGTACTCCGTGTTCATCCTCAGCTGACCATGGACCTCTGGCGGGTCGGGTGGGGCACTGCATGGACTCTGTTGGTCATGAACGAAGGTCTAAGGTCCAGCTATACATGGCCCATGGCCAATCACAGAACAAAGAATCACTTACATTTTATGATCGGTCAAACAGTTATAACGTTATATATCACTATGGTGGTGGTCCCAAAAGATAGTGGCACGGTTTCCGATTGAATTTTTAGTGGGTATCTACCTTTCTATCTATTTGGGGGTCTAGATAGATAGATGGATGGATGGATAGATAGATAGATAGGTAGATAGATAATCACCTGATCCGCAAAAGCAACATCCACCTCTATCTGGGTGTCCTGTCCGCCGCATCCGTTCGACACCATCGGATTCCAGTTCGCCCAAGGCACGTGAGGATGTCCACGCCCACCTGGCGCATCTGATGCTCCAGCTCATAGCCTCACGCGAACGCGGCGAACGCGTCTGAGCGAACGAACGCGGCGCATGGTCTGAGCGAGATCGCGTTCGATCCAAGGGATTGGCAGGTTCACAGAACTGGCCACTTTGTTCAATGACTGAACTGGCCACCTGTTCTTGTTGACTGGGGATCTATCCACCTGGACGCGCGATGAAGGCGATGAGGTGTTCTTTCAAAAGCCCGTTCCATCCCTTCCACCCGGCCAAGGATCGAATGTGTCGTGGAATGCACGAGGTCAGGGATGTGGTGATTGATTCATTGCACTCACACATGGACAGCCACGACATGCATATGGAAAGCTCGCTTTCGAAGAAAAAAAAACAACTCTTCCGGTGCCAAAGCAGTAGTGCAGTAGCAAAGAGGAGAAACACATCTGCAAATGCGGAGAAGGTTTAGGCAAAGGGTCGAGTTTCAGAAGCCCGCTCCCAGAAAGAGAAATAGTGATCTAATCTAAAGCACCAAGTCGTTGCCTCCGGACGTTCACCAACAATCCAAAAGCTCAAGTTTAAGTGTGCAAAGAACCCACTTGGACCTCCACTGTGGTCGGAAAAAAAACACACATATTTTGAGGGGTTGGTAGGCCAAAAATAGAGGTCACAACACAAGGGTCTGGGTAAATGTATGATCCAACCAGGACCTTGAAGGCGACCTCTACTTTTGTAGAGTTGACCTCATCACGGGATCTGTGGATGGTCATTTTTCAGGTCCTGGCACAGTTGATCTACTGGAATATCTACAGGATGATGGAAGTAGGACCTGGAGACAGGTCTTATTCCATGGTTTTCCCAGTAGATTCTGCTGTCTCAGACCCTGCAAAGGACCACATGGACCCTGAAAACCACCAGGTGGTAGCTGAGAATCAGTCTTAGACTTGGGTCTATCTTCACCGTTATCTGTTAGTCTGCAGAGTCGCCTCACTGTTCCATCGTTCCCCCCCGTTCTGAACGTCGACACCCTCGAAACGCACGTCCCAAGGGACAGAAATCCATCGCTTTGGTGCCCTGCCTTAGTTGAAACGCCACAGTCAGTGGGTGCAAACCCAATCCTTCCAGCAAAGTGCTCACAAGATCGACCTCCACCCATCAGTCCCTTCCTGTTCATTCTGTTCATCGTTAAGGGTAGGGTCCGGTAGGGTGGTGGCCCACGGCCATTTTTTCAACACAGGCCACCAAATGCACAAAGGGTCTCATGTGGTCAAAGCATGGTCAAACTAAGCATCACCGAGCATATCATGCTAATCCTGCACTCATGCTGGGAAGAAATCGATGGTACCAGTGACCGAGGCTGTTTTCTCTGAGCAAAAAAGCCAGGTCTCGTTGGGTTTCTCTCTTTCGGCCAACCAAGCTCCCAATTGGCAAGTCGGTCGAGCGGGAAGTACTTGGACCGTCCACCGCTGCTCAGCGGTGCTGGGAAAGCTTTTTTACGAGCCGCGTGGTGCTGTGGTGCTGATTCGTGGCAAAGGGGGGGCCTAAAGAATTCATGTCTCTCTCTCTCTCTCTTCACTCTAGCATTCTCCCTGTACACCATGCGCCATGAAAATCATGAAAGGAACACCAGCAACTATACCAACTGGGACTTGATTGAACAAACAAAGTCCACACAGACCATCTGTGTTGACCATCTGTGCGAAGACAAATGCTACAAGTCCCAGTGGGTGACTTGGTGGGTAGGGCACCATGCGCCATGATGGAAAAACCCCGTACGGTCCGCATCCTGACCAAAACCAACCAGAAACGACCTGCAAAAAGAGGATTGAGTTGGATTGTAAATAGTAGAATGATCATGAATCAATAGTAGAATAGTAAATGTAAGTAATAAGTAGAACCTAGTAGAATGATTAGAATGTGTCAGGTGGCTTCGATCTGCGTCGGCCAATCCAACCACCCTCGAACCTACTGCCCTGACCTGACCTGACCTCCTCGACTCTTGAGGCTTCAACATCCTCGCAACGTACTGCCGCGTTTCCCTGTCGGAAGGTGCAAAGTCCCTGACATTGTGGAATGGATGTGGTAAACAGCACCAGCAACAACAACAACAACAAACACCAACAAACCCCCATCGATCCCCCCGATTTGGTACCTGGTACCTGGTAGGGGGGGGCGCTCCTTTCACCGTCTCGGCCGGGTTGCAGCGTGGTGAAGATTTCGGGCTCCCGAAAGAGAGGTTCCCAATCATCACCTCGACCGGCTTTCGGACATACCGAGGCCGACCGGAAGCACCAAAGGGTATGAGACTGGAGGGTCTGCAGCTGCCACTGCTTTCCCATGTGCGCCTCCAGTGGAGACGCGCTTGGCCAGGACAAATTCCAGCTCGCCGCCGGCCAACAGTTCCTGTGCGGTTTGGCTGTGTTTGGTGAGAAGAAGTGACGTTGCTTTCAGGAACCGGGGAAACACACATCCACCGATGGGGATTCACCCAAATGGGAGATGGGACAAAGGGATCAGTCTGATGGTTCCATCCTATCACACTCAGGCCAAGGTTTAGGTCGGTTCGACTTGAAATTGCCCGCCAAAGGACGTGTTGGATAGCTGGATGTTCACCTGCTAAAGGATGATTCACATTCCAAGAGCTTGGAAGTATAGTGGATTGAGAGTAGATGGCACAGACCCCAAGAGGTGGTTTATATATGTTTATATGGACCCCCATCCAAAGGACATCATGGGGTCTGTGCCATCTACTCTGAAACCACTCTAGTATTGCATCATGTTGCCAAGTCTTGTCAACATGACAGTACGAGCGTGGCTGATCCACTGTACACCTTTCTGAGAGCATGGCATTGCCAGCTGTTTTACATGCTGTGTCATCTTCTTCAGCCGTGGCTGATGTCACCCCAAGAACACCAACACCAGCTGTCCAAAATGCCAGCTGCCTCGAGCCCCGTGGCGGATGGACGTCCCAAGTGGTAGGTGTCGTCCCTCAGCGCCCTTCGGAGGGTTGACCATGTTCCAGGCATTCGGACGTGTCTTCTTCAAAGGACCAGTGGTGTCGTTGGCCAGGGAGTTGGCCAAAGGGATGTTCACCTCCCTATAGTCTTGGGGTCGCAGGTTCCCCAAAGCGTTCCCTGCATGCTGTAAACCCATCGCGCTTCTTCGGAGATGTGTGGCACCCAAGAAAACACCTGACTGAGCCCACCCCGTGGGCTGGGACTGTTGTGCACCCCTGTGCACCCCTGGTGTTTCCATCCATGTGGCATGGACTGGCCACCGGCTAAACTCAAGAATCTGGCTTCAAACGAACAAGGATGCATCGCTTACAACACTCTGACTATCTCTAACTCTATCCACTTGTATGGCTTGTCAGGTATGTCCAATGTACTGACCATCAGTGAATGCTGGATCCCCACAAGGCAAAGCTCCCTTGGATCCTGATGGAAGAACTGAAGCTTCCTTTCCGAACATCTGCCACCCAAGACATCAACCCTCCCCCTCACAAAATCACCCAGGGCCGAGCATCCATCTTCTGATTCCTGAAGCCGAACGACCAAACAACACCTTTTCGCTAGTAGTAACAAGGCTTGCTATTAGAAACAAGTGCCTTACTAGTAGTAACAAGTGCATCGCTTCGTTCGTAACAAGTGCCTTACTAGTATTCACTCCTTGGCTCATGGCACTGGTGTTCACGAGGGCCAGAACCACGGTTGCCATGGCACTGGTGTTGGACGAGTCGAGAGGTCACCCAACCAGTATCTGTTAACCCGGGCGATCCAAACGGGTGCACCATCCATGACCCACAACTTCTTCAGTTCGTGACCAGACTTGAAGTCTTGAAGGGTTCACCAATAGAAGTACTCCTCAACCAGGACCCTCCTGTCACACGGGGTGTCCTGGCTGGACTACCCCACACTAGCGAAAAAGGCTTCCAGACAGGGCACCCCGTGTTTAGAGGGTCCTGGCATCTCAGACTGGGTGTCTTCCCCGTCTCAACTGGGCCCGTTGGGATCGCCGGTGGACCTGGCGACCTGGCGACCCTGCTTGGGGTGTGTGGGTCATGGCACTGCTTGACCCTGCTTAACCCCGGATCAATTGAACAGAGTCCTTCCTCCGATCTACGGATGTCACAAGTCCTTTTCATGATTTTCCAGGTGAGAACACCTCTTAATCCACAGCCACTTCCGGTGGATCGAGTTGCTATAGCTCCTCGCGCTTACTTCGCCGGGCTGGCGATCGCACGAGTCGTTGGGCGTAGCGCCGGCGAACCCTGACACAAACGGTGGCTTCCCCGGTAGCTGGTCGGCCTGGGCACCGTTTTGAGTGGCTGAATGTCTGATCCCGTGGACCGACTGGGCAAAGGACCGGACCCACTTGGAGTGAGCCGAGGGCATGGGGGGCCATCCACCCCCAGTCCAAGCAAGCCCGACGGAGACCTAGGATTAGAGTGGGAGTATCAGCTGGATCCACTGGGCTAGTGATTTGCAATATCCTCTCATGGTGAGGCTCTGAGGCCTGAGACAAATGACGAGGGGGCAGTTGAACGATTCAGCATCAGCTCCAACCCCGAGTTGTCGACCTCGACCAGTTGCCACGAACCATGGACGTTGGACGCCCATCTCCACGAAGCCGTGTAAATCTGGTGACCTCGTTCAGTGGTTTGATTGAACAAAGTATTAGTCAGTGATAGTCAGTGGGTTGCATCATCCCAAGTAATCAATTAAACAAAAAAGAAGTTGAAAAAGTTGAGAACAACTGACACCACTACCATCCACCACCCACCCTCCAGCGCGTGCGTGACGGGCGTGATTCCATCACCCAAGATTCTCGAAGTTCCGGAGCTCTGCTAAGAGCCGGCCACACAGTGCGCGGGGGCCGCACTTCAGACCTTGCTAGCTGTTTCTGGTGATCCAATCAGCATCTCCCAGCAGTTAAAAGCTAAGGGTGTGACATGACATATGGATACAACAGTGAATTATGGATTGATATAGTTTCAATAGTCATCGAACATGGTATGTTTGTTTTGTAAAGAAACGATATATAGAATCCAACTTTAGTCTAATGCAATTAAGGATAATTAAGGCAATATTAATTCTGGGTTTGGTGGTTCCCATGACCAGGTACCACGTGGGTTGTGTGCTTTGTAATTGTTTAAAAAAAACAACGTGTGATAGACAAGGGATGTCATTTGGAATCAGCAAATAAACAATAAACATAACCAATTTCCAATGGCAAAAACCAATTAGGGAGAAACCAAAGAAATATCAATGGTACAGGACAGGCAACGGTCGACTCAGCAAGTAAAAGCTCTAGCAAAATTGACATCTAATCTGTGGGAAAATGTCAGGCAAAATGAGACCTGAGCTTATTTAGAGGTTATATATATGTTTTGTTTTTGGAGTTGTTTTGCTGTATTTGGGGTCGGTAAGTCCACTAATCAAAAGCTGACTGCACACCATCCGTGCTTCTCTCACCACATTCACTTGTATATCATTTGTATATCATATATGTGGTCACGAACAAGTAAAACATGTTAATAATATATGTAATAAACTAACAAGCTGATGACATTTAAAACAAAAAGCACACGCTGGGCGAACCTTCACGCGTCTCCCTGGTGCCCACCACATGTGAAACCATTCCAAGTGGCCCTCCATCTCGCAGTACACGCGGCGGACCACGATGCCTTTCCTTGGGACAAGCAGAACAACATATCTGCAGCTTAAATGCACTTCGTTGGCACAAACGTTTAACAACTGACACTGGAATCATCATGGAAGTGGAGCTCACCACCTGTATGGTATTCGGAATCATCCACAAACGTTGAAGAACCGATTCCTCGTCTACACTCCGATGTCCAACAGCCCCGGGAGGTTGCGGAGCTTGAGTTCCTCAGTGCCAACTGCTTGATCCACACCGGATCAGGATATGGATCGGTTGTGGGTTTTGGTTTTGGGTAGCCCGAAGGACACGGCCGACATGCAAGATCTGCTCCGGGCGTCTCGGGCCGCGAGGCCCAGGGCAAGATCTGCTCTGTGGACCAGTCAGGCGCCAGCCGCGCGTTGGGGCAGCCCGCGGCGCCAATCTCCTGTGCGCTCGCGCAGCGGAGTGGAGCGGAGCTGTGGGCAGCGATGGCCGCTGCGGTCGGCGCTTCCGCCGGTGTGGGAGAGATGTTTTGGGTGTGGTTAACAGTTGAACATGTTGGGACAAAAAAAACAACAAGCACACAATCTGGGTTGTGAGGCGAGAGTTCCGAGGGAATAGCTTCAAGACGTTGGAACTTAACCCGCGAAGGCCATGAATGACCCTCATCAGTTGCCTTGTCAAGACTGTTGGACATCGGGCAAAAAACTGCAACAACGTGACAAACACTTCAGAGCTTCCTCCGACTGTGAGCTTCATCCTTTCGCCACCTTCTAGGATCTCACGCCCCAAATCGGGCCACACTCTCAAAGCAATCGTATCCAGTGCGACGTAACCTCTCAACTAGAGAAAGTGTGAAGCACCATTTGGGCAGTACCTGCAGCTGTTGGTGCTAAGCTTACCTGGTGGTGAGTTCACCCAATGACGTCACGTTTCGTGGCATTTTGTGGCGCGGAGCTGCGCAGCACTGCGGCTCGCGCAGGCGGACGCCGCAGGCGCTGTCTGTTCACGCACGTCTTACGGCGTAGCCAGCGTGGGCGAGGGGCTGGCGTCGTTATCTGGTGAATAAAGGCAAAGAGGCCAGACATCATCTTGGTGCAGCATCCAAAAGAGCCATGGGCCATTTGAGACAAAGAAGACAGCAGAGTCATCTCAGCTGAGCATTTAGCCATCGGAAACAAAGAGAGACAAAGCAGAACCATCCACAAGAGCCACTGGAGACAAAGAGTGACAAAAGGAGCCAATACAACGGCTATAGACTTAAATCGCCCCCTCTTCCTCTCGTTCTGCTTTCTTCGTCGTGGTATCGTTTCATCTCGTCTTCCGGCCTTAGGGATCACCATGATCTTTTGCTTGGCACCTGCGGACCGACAGACCGACCGGACCGGAAATCGACAGCTTCGTCCTGTCAGCCCCAGACGTCCAGTCCATCCGACCCGACGTTTGAAACCGGGAACGACCATGGGAACGCGCCGCGTTAGATCCTATGTCAAACAATGGTTGTTCGGCAGATCTCACGGCCATCCTATGAGAAACACGGCCGCGTTGCATGGAAGCACGGCCTAGTGTCTGAGTGGGTCCACATCTCTGAACAGGTTCAAAGTTGAATCAGGTCGGCACAGCAGAAACAGCAGGCCTGGTTCGCTTCCCAAACACATGGCATATATATAAGGGATTGCAGCCCTTCCGTTCGAGCTTCAAAAGATGCTTGACCTGCTGTTTTTTTTGGTAAGATAGCAAAATATTGGTTGTTTGATTGTTGTTTGGTAAGAATGATCAGCAATTCGTGGCTGGAAGGCATGGCCCAGGGGAAAACGTTTTTCCATCATGGATGCTTCTTGAGCGATTCCAAGGGTAGGCTACGAACACATGTCATGTTAGTCAGTCTAGAGAGAGAGAGAGAACGGAAAAACCAGCTGTACGGGGGCCAAGAAGTATGCTGCACCCCCAAAACTCAGTAAGCAAACACATGTCATGCTCATCTGGAGCTGAATTCATCCAACCACCCGATAGGTCCAGTTAGCACCACGCCAGGTGGCCATAAGCCAAAGCTCCAGAGTACATGAAGACGGGCTCCTGCTTGTGTCGCATGGGCACCACTTTCGACAAGCCCTTGCAGTGAAAGTCGCAGATCTCAAAACCTCGGCGGAGCTCGTGGTGTCGCTCGTCGGGTAGCACCAAAAACATCCCAGAAGGTGAGCTCCAGGGGTACCCTCAACGAATTTGGTGAGATTGGGATTGGGGTGCAGGCTCAAACCAGTGCCTTCACCATGGCAGAACCAGCAAGACCCACAAACGGTCGCAGAGGATTTCTGACAGCGGCCTTTGATGCCCAAACGGTTGCTTTGTCCCGTTTGGGCTCACAATATCTTCTGGGTTTGGAAGATATCTTCTGAGTAGGTACCTCAGTCGTCCAAGGGTAAAAGAACGACTATACGGACTATACACGCAGAAGACGACCTCGGGAGGTCGTCTACCATCGAGTCTATGATGCCTCAGAAAACAACACC